CGCCCCTCCCAGCCGTACCCCGTTCTTCTGGTGGCAACAGCGAGATCTCCGCTACAGAGCCAACGTTTTTCAAACAAAATAGTTTATCACTCAGCAGGGGGAAGGAAATTATGTTCCTTCCCACATTCAAAGGAGATAAAAGAAACAGCAAGGACCTTAGTTTTTAATTCTAAACAACTCCCTTACCAATTTCCTTTCAGCAGCCCGGTGAAACACCCACAGGACCCGCGCGAGCCACTGCAGCGTGTTGGGTCAGGGTGACTGATGGGCTCAGGATCTACCCTTTTAAGTTGGCAGTAAATCCAACTGATTTACTTCTGAGGATCTACCCTTTCAAGTTGGAGTCATTTATACAAGTTTAATGTCTTTTCTTCTTCTACCTTCCCTCTATTACCCAAGGAAGTTCCACATACAGACCACAGTCTTTGTGCAGAAATCCACATCGTTTTCTAGAACAAGGTTCAGTCCTACAGTCCCACTTGCTTGGAAAAACGTGTCAGGCCAATGAAGAGTAGAATAAAAGCAGAAATTTGTATATTTAGACTGTTGAATCAGGGCTGAACTGGGAAAGGAGAAGGTTAAGGTAATTAACCTCCTCATACCCCAACAGATCAAAAGGAGAATCCAAGTGGGCTATTATAGCTTCCACCACAGTGGATCATTATACTAATATATAATGGAAACACATTTGAAAAATAAATACATACAGAGGGTATCAAAGCTGTTAGATTTTTAATGGATGTTTGTAACAGCTTCCCTGGGTATCCGTGACTGGGCCATTCCCTGTTATCCTATGAAAACTCTCAAAGAGAAAACTTATTTTTAATATCTCTTTTCAGGAAAGACCCTGCAACTGGCCATATAGAAGAGGATTAAAAGAAAGGCAGCTCACATTAACATGCCTGGATAAAAAAAAAAAAAACCACTCCACAAAGATTATGAAGGCATTAGGAGAAACAAAAAAGTATTTTACTTTAAAATACCAAAGTTGGTCAATTTAAACATTGTGAAGCCATTAGCAAATAAAAGAGAACGAATTTAACACAACCACTTGGACTATCTCTGACTCCCCACATGAGCAAATAAAGTACATTTTTCCTCCAGCCCGACTCATCCTCACTAATATTTCTTACCCAATACAAAATATGCAGTGACATGACAACTGAGATTTTTAAAACCTGCCTTTACACAAAGGCTTTTCAGTTTGTGCTTAAATCTGCGGATACAAATAGGCTGTGTACTAGAAGGCAAAGCAAATTTTCTAAATTTATCCAAATACCAAGTATTACATGGCCACTGGCTGTACTCACAATTCCTTGTGCTCAAAAAAAGAGTGCAAATGAAACTGAGCTGGAAAACACAGCCTCCTTCATTTTCTTTTAAAGTAATGTACTCTTTGCAATTAGGTGTGCTAATCAGAATACACATTATAATATTCAAGAGGTTTCCTTTAAATTGACCACTAAAAATAGAGTTCTCAGGAGAGATGAGAAATATAGAAAAAATTATCAAGGCAAGAGGAGCTAAGAAGGAGAACAATTTAGGACTCTGCCTGGTAATTACAACTTGAGAAAACAAACACACGCAAAAGCAGAGAGGTTTTCATGGACAAACTGATTGTTTACCACTTACCAGTGCTTCCTCTTCAAAGTGTCCAAGAGCTCCCTGACTATAGCTTTACATGATAAATACTAATTAAAAATCAGGGAAGCCAGCTGGAAAATTATTTCTGATGAACTAAAGCTGACAATTATTAAAGAAAACACACAAAGGCACACAAGAGACACCATTTGCTGGCATTTTTTATCCTCCCTGGTCAGACTAATATTTGGTACCGCATGGAAGGGCTGAGGCTTTAATTCTTCCAGTTTTGAGTCTCACTTTGGACAAAGCCAATTGGAAGTACTAAAAAATTAGTTGGCTGGTTTAACTTGAAAACTTCCTTTTCTTTGGAAATCAGAACTTCCTTACAAAGTAAGAAAGATTTCTAATCAAAGACCAGCTGACTTGCCAGTCAAGCAGACCAGAGCACAGCCTGTCAGGATGTTCCCCAAAGGTCATGGAAAGTTAGCACTGAAGCCAGCTCTGCCCAACTTGCACCAGTTTTGGCATCAAAAACAGAGAAGCGTTTCCTTTGTAGCAAAAGGAAAGTTTCCTTTGAAGCAAAACTGTACTGCAGTCATTTCAGGAAATAACACTGATCTTGATTGAAGCCTTCAAAACTCCATCTGTCTAAAGAATTGACTCGTCTCAAATCTGCATCCCCGCTGAGTGATGCTGGGTCAAACACCAGTGAGAGTGAAGGCCACAGCCGACCTTCAGAGCAGAAGCCTGAGGTTCTGTCTACTGGAATCAGATCAGCAGGCAGCCTCCGGAAGAGGCAACGAGCTGCAGTTCTGGCTGGTGGAGAAGTCACCACCACCTTTTGGTGGAGAAGTCGGCCTGACACAGGACCACAAGTTACTATTATTCTCACACCACTCAGTTCAGCGGTACGGTACAGCTTCTTTCTGCCAAAAGGTAATGAAGTGACTGGTTCACCTAACCAGGAGTTCCACCTCATGCAGCAAAAAAGCATCTTGTAGGACACAACTCCAGAGCTAGTAACCTTATCAAACCCTCTTGCAGCTTCACTGCCAAACACCCAGCTAAATGTAAAAAGGCTAGTTGAAATACAAAACGCAGAAAAGCAGCACAGGAGTTTCCTTTCCTGTCACTAAAGACCTGTTCCACAAAGCTCTGCAGCCTTAAGTTTCCTGGATGTGGAAAGACGTGGATTTCTCTGCCCCTCCAGGATCACTAGGGAATACCTGTCTTTTATTCGAAGTTTAGTACCTTTTAGGGTTTATACACGATCTCCAAAATACATGCTAACACGCAGGCAACTCCATTGCCTGAACAATCTGATCTTCCAGGTATGCCTTAAGTCCTGTACGGTACTTGCCAGCCCTCTTCAAATGTCTTGGATACCCTCAGACATCTAAAATGAGGTTGGAACTAGATGATCTTTGAGGTCCCTTCCAACCCTAACCTTTCTTTTTAGGCACTGGTATTGCACATTAAAAAAGCACAGTGCAGCACTGTCGTCTTCCCGAATAAAAAAACCCAAACAACCCATCACCACCACCACCAAAAAACAAACAAAAAACCCCAAATAGCTAAAAGCTTCTTAAAGTTTGGATTTTGGCCCACTTATGTGTCAAATATAAGACAAGAAATATTTAATACTGACAATTAAACTTGTTGAGAAGACAATATGAAACTCTCCAAAAGCACCAAGAATTAGCAGTAAACACTGGGGAGAGAACTGGTATGCTGTCAAGTACATGGACCATGTACTGGCAGAGGGTCAAGATAACAGCTTCTGGCATCTTCTGACCTCCGCAGAAACTGGTAACAGCAAACAGCACTTTCTGGGTACATCGTACCTTTCCATTGTGTGCAAGGTGTTACAACCTGGTTCGGAATCCTTACATGATGGCAAATGCTGTGAGCTCTTCCTGAAATCTAACAAGCACTTCCAGGGACTCAGGTGCAGCTTGGTTCATCCACCTTAACTGTCAGACCCAGAACAGGAAATGGCTGTACCATCACTTGGCCTTCTACTGGAGCCTGAAGAGCTTCTCCGAAAGTCAGCCGACTGTCGAGGCAGCAGCAGCGACGAAAGCTCCTGTCTATGCCGACTTCCTGGAACGTGGACCAAGGTGCAACCTGAGCCCATTTGGTACTTTGCGTTGTCCTGCTGGGCGAATGCACTCATGTGGGAATCCATTCAACTTCGCTACAGCCCTGTCGATACTTCTGCCTCCCTGGCTGCTCCAGTGTCAACGTGGAACACTGAATCCATCCTAAATTCCCACACTCCCTTGCTGTGCAGTAATGCCACCACGCAGAAAGCCAAATTCACTTACTAGCCACAAAAAGTGGGGGCAGGAGGCTGCTACCATCTCTGCAAATGCACCCCACCGCTTCTCCTACTGAGAATTTTCCTGCAGGAGCTTTATATTTGGTTAACAATGAAGAGCCACTATCACAGCAACCATTCTGCAGATATGCCCAGTGAAGCATTTTCAACTGGTAATGGTTTTGCATCATTATGCATCAAAACTTGATAAGCCAGCTTCCTGCACGCTTGATGTGTGGATAAATGGACATACACATCTTCTGAACGGCAGTAGGAACCAAGGCAAGTACTTAAGCATGACCGGCACACAAGTCACTCGTGATAAAGGTGGTGTAATAGACGTATATATTGACGTGCACAGGTCTAGCAGAGGATTCTAAACAGCCTTTTTTGTGCTAAGGATCAGAAATGAAAGCTTTTTTCCAACATACTGGTCTTTGCATCAGGCTTTTTTGGACCATAGGTTAAATCCTTCCTTGTTTTTCAGGAGTTCGTAAGCCTGATGTGTACAAAAGTTACCTCCTCACTGCCACTGTCTTTGCCTTCAGCCTTAGTCCAGGAAGCATTTTACATCCCATATTCCCTGCAAATAGGGAGTTTGCAATTACTGCTGTCCATACAGGCAATAAAACTCTCCTTTTGGAGAGTTTATTGTTCAGGGAATTTCCTAACACACACTGTGACCACATTTGGCCAATAGGGAATAGATCATCAGGCATTGTTAGATATGAACAGGAAGGTATAGGAGGGACACGAAAAATAATCTAGACCTTCTGAAGGCATCTGATACTTCCTAACAGCCTATTTTCCTCCTCAAGAGATTAAAGCTCAAGCTAGTTGAGAATTTTCCTGCTAGTTGAGAATTTTCCTGCTTCCAGGCTCCCATAAAGCTACGCTGCTTTCTCGCATGCTCATCTGAGCAGTCCACAAAGAGAATCCAGAGACATTTCCTACTCAGCAATGCAAAGCCCTCAATCAGAAACAGTGTCCGAACCCCCCTGGCTAAGACTCCCGTTCCAACGTTCGACCACTCTTTCAGTAAAGAATTTTTTCCTACTATCTAATCTAAACCTCCCCTGGCACAACTTGAAGCCATTTCCTCTTGTCCTGTCTCTAGCTACCTGGGAGAAGAGACCAACCACCACCTCGCTACAATCTCCTTTCAGGCAGTTGTAGAGAGTGATAAGTCTCCTTTTCTCCAGGCTAAACAACCCCAGTTCCCTCAGCCACTCCTCACAAGACTTGTGCTCCAGACCCTTCACCAGCTTCATTGCCCTTCTCTGGACACACTCCAGCACCTCAGTGTCTTTCTTGTAGTGAGGGGCCCAAAACTGAACATGGTGTTTCGAGGTGGGGCCTCACCAGTGCTGAGCACAGGGGGAAGATCACTGCCCTGGTCCTGCTGGCCACACTACTTCTGATACAAGCTGGGATGCTGTTGGCCTTCTTGGCCACCTGGGCACACTGCTGGCTCACATTCAACCAGCTATCAAACAGCACCTCCAGGTCCTTTTCTGCTGGGCAGCTTTCCAGCCACTGTCCCCCAAGCCTGTAGCGTTGCATGGGGTTGTGGTGACCCAAGTGGAGGATCCAGCACTTGGCCTTGTTGAACCTCATACAGTTGGCCTTGGCCCATCCAGCCTGTCCAGATCCCTCTGAAGAGCCTTCCTACCCTCCAGCAGATCAACACTCCCGCCTAGCTTGGTGTCACCTACAAACTTACTTAGGGAGCACTCAATCCCCTCATCCAGACCATCGATAAAGATATTAAACAAGACTGGCCCCAGAACTGAGTCCTGGGGAACACCACTTGTGACCAGCCACCAACTGGATTTAACTCCATTCAGCACAACTCTCTGGGCTCGGCCACCCAGACGTTTTTTTTACCCAGCAAAGACTACACCTGCCTAAGTCATGAGCCACCAGCTTCTCCAGAATCTTACAGTTGCAAGGTTTAATTTTGGCTCCTTGCTTTGCAATAAGCCCTTTTCCTCAAACCTGATAGGTTAGGGTTTGGTTAGAAGCAGGACAGTTCAAAAAAATTGATGCAAACTAGGTAATTCTCCAAAGTTCTGGCAATTTGAAGTTACAAATTTCCACTAGAAATCACATGTGGCAACTCTGTAACCAAAGCACAGGAAATGAGAGAAATTAGTTTATCAGCCTTCACCAGGCAGCACCTCGTATCCAGAACTAACATTCAGCAGATGGAAAACGTTTCCAACGTTACAAATAAAATGATTTTTTGTAGTTAACCTTCAAAAAGTACCAAATAATGCAGTCGTCACCCAAATCAGATCTACCTCTCTACAGAGAGAGCAGGCGGCAAGCTACGACAGCGGGAGCGGGGGAGGCAGGGACCAAGGGTTCTTGAAGGAAAAGGCTGCAAATCAAGAGATCCAAACGCCTTTGGCTCTCCTAAGAGTTTAATTCCAGCATTTCACTAACTGAAGTCAGCAAAGAGATTTTCAATGACTTCCAGCAGTTTTGGAACAAGCTTATACTGTGCGCATACATAACAGCAACACTCGTAGCAATACCCTGTACTTACTTAGAAATTTATCCTCCATACATCGGGAAACCCTTTATCTGGCTGTTAAAAGCTTTAATCTACAAAATTACAGAAATTACTTTATTTACACAAGAGGACACATAGGGAATAAACAGTTTGTTCAAGGTCACAGACAGAGTAAGTGCCAGGAGGCGCATTAGAAAACAGACCCACTGC